GGTGTTGGTCTATGTGGTCCCCTTAGATGAAGGCATGGCTGATGGTATATTGGCACGCTTGGTTCTGGTTGTGACAGCAGGTTTTTTTTTTTTGGAACGGGGTAATTGAGAAAATAGAGAATGAGATCCATGAAGTTTAAAATTATAACTTATAAAAAGTGATTCCCACTAAACCAAAACACTTGATTGGGTAAGGATTGTAGTGGTTGTAGGTAAACCCACAAACTTTATGCCCAAATGCATGTACGAAAACCCAAGAGTTGAATTTACTATTTGACAAAACTCTAGGTTAAGCTTCTAAATTTATATAAAATTTTTCATTAAATCTTTAAATTTTTATTAAAATAAATAAGCTTTTAAGCTTATCCATTTAATTAATTTAACAATTTTCTTTACGATAAATTTAATACATGTTTCTGTCTTATTTATATGGATAAGTTTAACACTTAACCACATAAGCAATTATATATCAATTCATTGTCAATGCAAGCGATTCATTAGTAAGTGTTAAATTTGTCGTAAAAAATAGAAGTTAAATTGTTCAAATTGTAAAAGTTAGAGACTTATTTGCTTCAATAAAAATTTAAAAGATTAATTGAGAATCTAGAGTAAGTTTATGAGCTTAACGTAAGGCTTTACCTTTGCTATTCCCTTCTATTTTTCTTTATCTTTATATCTTTATAACTTATCTACTTTTAACTCTGTATAAATTAATTTAATGATTTTTTGTAGTAAATAAATGATAACTAAAACATTTTTTTAATCTAAATTTTCTTTTTGGTCCAAATACTTCACCTTTGTGTTAAATTAGGCTCAACATTTATTTTGTTACCTTTTCGTCCCCAAAGATTTGATTAAGTCAATAATTTATTCATTTTCTTTTAAATTAATTGTTTTTTTTTTAAATTACAGCATTATTCTCAATCTTTAATGTATAAACTATAAATATCCATAAAAATTTCACAAGGAATGAATAGGAAAGGAAAGATCTTTCTATTATTTTTATTATTTTTATTTTAAATTTCATAATTAAATATTATTGTCTCTTATTTCATTATTAATACTATTCGTATATCTACAACTCAAATCTCTTACCCTACTCGGAGGAGAGGTTACCAGTAAGTCTTGGTTTATTTATTTTTATTATATCTTAAGTAGCTCAACACTTACAAAAACCATACAAAATTATACACTGTAATTGGAAAAGAGAGAATTATTCATTACACATGGGAGAATTTCCAGTTCTCCACTTTGGTAAACTCATGCGGTGGACTCCAAAAAGGGATAATCGGTGTAGCCAACAACAGGATCAGAGGTATAAAAAGTCTCTCTGTGGTATTTATTGAGTGGAGCATTGAGTTCAAATCTCCTTGGCAAATCTGGATTGGCCAAGAAGAAACGCCCATATGCCACAAGATCCGCACGATTTTCAGCCACTGCTTCGTTTCCTTCTTCCCGGTTGTATCCCCCAGCAGCAATGAAGGTTCCTTTGAAAGCCTTTCTCATGGGAAGAAGACTGTGAGGACATACACATTCATCTCCAACTGCTGTTCTCATTCTTGGCTCAACCATATGGCAGTAGAGAATCCCATATTTATTCAAGGCCTCAGCCATGTAGAGGCCTAATGCTTTTGGATTAGAGTCTCCTGATTCCATGTAATCCGCAAAGGGAGACAGTCTTATCCCCACTTTGTCTGCTCCAATCTCATTAACAATAGCTTCAACTATTTCTAAAGCAAATCTGCAGCGGTTCTCTAAAGATCCACCGTATTGGTCTGTTCGATCATTCACCTCATCCTTTATAAACTGGTCGATTAGGTAGCCATGAGCCCCATGCATCTCAATTCCATCAAAACCTTCATGCCAGAAAAGTAACTACTTAGGTTCAAGTAACCCCACAAATTAATCCTTGGATGTTTTCAAGTTTAAAGTAAGCCTCTCATCTGGGATTTTCAATTTTCAAGCATTTAGACAGGAAAATTTAATAGATCCATTCAATGAACGCGGTTATGTATACTGAACTCTGAAGAAGAGAACTATTGAGATAGAAAGAAAAGCAGAATACAAAT